ACCCACATACCAACAACTGGTCAATATAAAATCTCTTTATAAAGCCATATTCTAGTTCCTATTGAATGCATAGATTATGCGACCGCAATTTCAAAAGCTGATAATAATCCAATCAACAGTTCAACAAATTGAATCGTCCATTAAAGACTTATTAAAGCCCGATAGAGAAATTCTAATCTGAGTTTGAAAAACTGACAAAATTGTCCACTTCTTTTTCTTTACATTAAATCCATTCAAACTGAAAATGAAATGGATGTTGTTAATGACCACATTCCATTAATGCAGTATTCATTCATAATTCAAGAATCAGACAGTTTTCTTACTATTTTATAAAATTATTTAGAGAAAGTAAAATTAATTTAAAGTTATTATATAAAATAGTTTTTAGTACAATTTTTTTTAAGCAATGAAAAAGCAGTAGCCAAATAAAAATTCTAGTTGCGATTTGAAAAAAACAATGCAGTAAGGAAGTTGTCCCAAACGAAGCCTCAGTCTACGATAGGGTGTAAAAACAGGTTGACGAGTCGGGTTCGTGTCTAACCCGAAATTAACCACACCTAGATTCAGTCAATTTGAACTTGACTCATTTAAAAAATGGGTCAAAAATATTTGCTAGCAACCTGAATGAATTGAACCCGACTCGTAACCCGTTTTAGTTTTAAAAAAAAAATTATAACTTATTAACTATAAATTTTAAAATATTTAATAAATAATAAGAATATTATACTCACATTTAAGAAAAACTAAAGAAAAAAAGATCTTAAATGGGTCATTTTTTGGTAAAAAAAGAGTTCACGGGTCAAACTAAATTCAATCCGTTTAGTAAACGAGTCGGAAAACTCAATCCATTTATTAAACAAGTCAATCCTAACCAAATTTTTTTCTTGTCAGGTTGACGGGTTGGGTCATTTATTCACACCCCTAATCTAAGCGCTCATCATGATTATTTATTAACTACATGCATTCTAAGTTAAATTATTTTATAATTAAATGATAGGCATGCAAGCTCTCATATGATGGTTTATGTGTAATAATTAAGGTATAAAATTATTTGATGATTGGTATATATGTAAATAATTAAGGTGTAAGAACAGTATAGGAATTTAATTGGTGCCATGAAATGTATAGAGCATTTTTTGAACATTCTTAGTCTAAATTGTCATTAATTGGTGCAATGTAATATTAATTTATGTAAATTTGTTTATATGTGTTGAGGGTGTTAATGAAAAAGCTCAATTGTCATAACTTTGGGGGTTCTAATTTCCATGAGAGGAGTTCCTATCCTCCTTTCCTATATTTGTTGGCATGGTATGATGATAGACACTAAGAAAAAAGAAAATTATAGTACTTTTTGAATGGTTAATAAAAAGAACATGCTATAATATGAAATTAGCATGGAATACAACAAATTAGTTACAAAAAACTTGTACAATTTCACTTGAAAAGAGATCAAAAGGGAAAAAAATCCCAATTTTGATGTAAGATATTAAGCAAGCTTGGATGTCGATGCCACAATTTAAGTAGATTTTTGTTGTGTTTATATGGAAAATCAAATGATGCTTTGTTTGAACTTAGCAAAATCCAAAGAAAAATAATATTACAAGTTTCTTGTTTATAGGAAAAATAATTACATTTGGAGTGAATATTATAACATACCTTGAATCACCTTGGTATATTAAAATTGTTGCTAATAATTTTTTTTCAATTTAAAACTTTCAAAATAAAAGGGAAAATTATCATAGAAGAAAAATTAAAACTAGATGTATAGAAAAGAAGGAAAAATAAACATCAAACAGGCATAAGTATTGATAGAGGATTTTAATTTATACCATCTAAGAAGCTCAATTAATAACTATAGGTATTCTCCTCTTAGGTATTTTGAGTGGATCAAAATAGTAATCAATGAAAGGGTGCATCCTCTCATGATGAGGTTCAGAGTTTAACTTGGGTGAAATAGCCCAAATGAAATAAAAGTGTGTCTGATTTTGTTTTAATAATTTAGTGTATCAACTTAACTTATTGATATTGACATTGGCTTAAAGGTATAAAACATGATTAGGGTGGCTAAGAAAATTGGCATGGACAATTTAGCTTCTTGATAACTAGTCTTAGTTCATTCAAAAGAAGAGAGCTTGAAGGCACTTATGTGGATGTATATTTCAAAGAACACATCCATTCATGATAAGACTCAAAGTTCAAATGGATGAAAAATGCTCAAGAGTACAATTACATTTGACTATAGTTTAGAGGTGCAAATACATGGCCAACCTGTCGATGATTTTAAAACAAAATTTAATTTAGAGGTGTAAAACATAATATTGGTAACTCAAATACTTGTTATGTCTGGTTTGTTAGTCTAAGAATGGATAACTCAAATGAATTTGGGATCTCTTGAAAGAGAGTACCCTAAGCTATACATGATGGATGGATGTCAATGTCATGTTGTTGGGATACTCCTTATATTATCATAGTCCATATTGAATATATAGCTTAAGTAATATCATTAATGATTGATATTTTGATTTTGATTTGATTATACTATATAGTAGATGATACAATGTTATGTCCATGAGTTGCCTTAAGAAAGAAGCCATTGGCCAAACTTGAGCTATAAGTTAGAATTTAGTATGCTTTGGAGGGTGTATTTGACATGGGATCTAGCAAAACTACTTGATGATAAGAACTTATGACATAAGCTAGCCCATAGGTTGATATTTAAAATAGGGCTTAAATTTTGGAGGAATAAATATTGATTTTAAAAAAGATTGGATTTATGGCATAACTTCCTTAAAGTTTCATATTTTGTGGCTTATGTTAATGTCATCATAAATATATTTGAAGGTCTAGAATTTATAGCCCTTAAGGTAGAGGATGCTTGGATGAGAATTAAATTATTAATGATAAGGGAGATTTAAAGATGTGATTAATAATTTTGAAGATGGAAATACCAATAGATATTAAATGATCTTAACTTGATAGGCTTACTAGTTATGTGCTATCTAGCCAAACAAGTTGGGGTTTATATCTTGTTATACTACATTTATTACTTGTGTCATTTGTATTTTTATTCTACAACTTGGCAAAGTTATATCATCAATTCATTGTAATACTTATAAATTATGTTTGAGGGCAGGCTAGAGGTGGGACTTATAACTCTACAGTAATAGCAATTTAAGGTATATGTCATCATTTTGACAAGGATGAAGTCAAATGATAGTACTTTAAACTCTCATGGTGAATATACTCATTTATAAAACTTATAGACTAAAGATAGAGGGATGCTTAGTGGTGGAATTTAGACTATTGTTAATTCTTCTAATGATCATAAGATAGAACTTTATTGGCTCTATGAAAATTAATCAAATGATTTCCTATCTAGACAATCTATAGCAATTTGGATTGGGGAGATGTAAGTATACTATCAATAACTTAGTGTAGATAATAATTGAATCATGGTGAACCTAATAAATATAATATATTATATCATCCTATCTTATTATGGGCTATAATTTATATATTATATCATTCTATCTTATTATGGGCTATAATTTATTTAGTATCAATCAAATTTATTCGAACTATTCTTATAAATAGCTATAGGTTGCATTAATTAAGAAAATCACATATGTTTAGCGGAAAAGATTGTCTTTAAAGCTAACTTTGAGGTTGATTGACTTATTGGTGGCTTTATGCTCTATAGAGTGTGTCATATGGTTTGCACTCATATACTTAGCTATGTATATAGGGAGAAGAATACTTTATATAGAATTTTCTATGTCCAAATATTCAAGGAGAAGGATACTTTATCAAATTAAATTGATCGAGCATGAATTTTTGTTGAAATAACCTAAATCATATACTTATAATTGAAAATTTTATAATACAAATTGAGGGACCAAATGATTTTTTGAATCTTTGATGCTTACAATTGAAAGAAATGTCTTGATATGAGAAATCTTGTGAGCCTACTGTCACTTAACTTTGAGATCATTTAGACCGTTAAATATTGAAAGAATAATTTATGATCATAAGAATATTTACAATATGTATAATGGAGTGATTTGAGATTTTAGATAAAATTATCAAAGTACAACAAACAAATTATAAATATACATTCATTTTCTAAATAAAGTGCACCTTGGCTTGATTTTGCAAAGAACTTATTAAATATTTGATAACAGTATAGCCTTGTCCAATAATTGACGCTAGTGATTATCATCAACAATTATTGTTGCATGACTGTCATGACCATGGTTGCTTAATTGTTGTGATCTGATTGTTATCATGATCTTTCTTCTACGACTATTATCACTTAAAAGTCTGACTTGACCGATGTCAACACCTAACTGACATCATCAATTGATCATTATTTTGTGATTATCATCACTTCCTTCTCATTTCTTTAACTTTATAATTCAATCTTCTATAATTGAGAAGAACATCATCTTCTATAATAATATTTTATTTTATTTATTTATTTATAATATTTTATTATTTTTTTATCATCTTCTATAATAATATGTATATAGTAAACCATTTAAATATGGCCAATCTTATGATTTTTTTTCATTTCAAAAATTTCAAGAAAAATTTGAATATCTCTTATAATATAATTTTTATAAGTTATCTCCTTTATTCTTATAAATATTCTAACACACGAGAATTTTAAACATATAAAATAGAGTAATAAAATTAAAATATGGATAATTTATCATTTTTAAACGCATTCTATAATTTCGTGAGGCCAAATCCAAATGAGACCAGAAATTTTGACCGAGAAATAAGTTACCTCTTACCCGGTAGGACCCACAGATATCATTACAAGTCAGAGGGCCACATTTGAACGACGGTCCGGATCGATTTGAAACGGCGCCCAGGAGTCCTGTTCTGGCTGCGTTTTGTTATCCGGATCCGATCATCAATGAAGAGAATCTCATCCGACGGTACAGATCCATTTTAAACGGTACCAGCAGTCTCGTTTCCCTCTTCTAAAAGTTCTTATCACACGCTTTCTAGCTCATCCACTAGGGTTCCAGCCCTTTTCGCTCTCTCTTTCTCCCATTTCTCCCCCACACTTGCTCGTCGTCGATCTCATCAGTGGCCGCCACCACGCGATTACTCTTTGTATCTTTCTGTGATTACCGAGAGAACGTAATCACTGGTGTTCGCTAAACGCAGCACTTCGATCTTTTCGAGGTTTGTAATCTCTTTTCTTCAGCGTTGTACGATTGTGCGCTAGTTTCTTGCTAACTGTCTTTCGCACCTGGGTTTTGGCTGTTGCAGTAGAAAATGAGCTTTAGATCGGTTGATCCATGCGTGAGAAGCCTTGGGTTTTTGTGAAGGTTTGAGGTTAGTTAAAGAAATGAGAAGAGAGGAAGATTCAGGCGCTGCGCCCAACGCTGGAGGCGGTAGGAAGACTTTCTGGAGGTCGGCGTCCTGGTCTTCTTCTCGGACTGCATCAGTTCCTGATGATGTTGCAACGGGCGACACATCAGAGAACGCTTCTTCCAATGGTCAGTTTCGACGCTTCCCGCCTACTCCCCTCACGCCTAGATCTAACAGCAGTAAGGCCCGTTCCTGTCTTCCTCCTCTGCAACCCCTCTCTATTGCTCGCAGGAGCTTGGACGAGTGGCCCAAGGCCAGCTCTGACGACGTTGGGGAGTGGCTTCAGCCCCCCACGCCGAGTGGTAGAACGGAAGCAAGCAGACCCGGGGAAGGTCTGACGGTGGACTTATCATCGTTACGTTCTCAGGTTAAAAAAGATCAGATCGCCTTCTTTGATAAGGAGTGTTCCAAGGTGGCAGATCATATCTACCTTGGTGGAGATTCCGTGGCTAGGAATAGAGAGATCCTCCGCGAGAATGGTATCACCCATGTCCTCAACTGTGTCGGATTTGTTTGTGCGGAGTATTTCAAAGCCCATCTCGTGTACAAGACACTCTGGTTGCAGGATAGCCCGACCGAAGATATTACTAGTATATTGTATGATGTGTTTGATTACTTTGAGGATGTTCGGGAGCAGGGTGGGAGGGTACTGGTTCATTGCTGTCAAGGAGTATCCCGATCAACCTCGCTTGTGATAGCCTATCTCATGTGGAGGGAAGGACAGAGTTTTGATGATGCCTTCCAGTTTGTGAAAGCTGCAAGGGGTATTGCCAATCCGAACATGGGTTTTGCGTGCCAGTTGCTGCAGTGCCAGAAGAGGGTCCATGCAATTCCATTGAGCCCAAGTTCAGGACTCAGGATGTACAGAATGGCACCACATTCACCTTATGATGCCCTGCATCTGGTTCCGAAGATGCTTAATGATCCATCTCCTGCTGCTTTGGATTCAAGAGGGGCGTTCATTCTCCATGTCGCCTGCACAATTTTTGTATGGATTGGTAAGAACTGTGATATGGTAATTGAGAAGGATGCTAAAGCTGCTGCGTTTCAGGTTGTAAGATATGAGAAAGTGCCTGGGCCTATTGTCACAGTTGAAGAAGGTGAGGAACCAGCAGAATTTTGGGATGCCTTTTCTAACCCAAGATCTGGTTTAGACAGTGTTGCGAAAGTTGAAAAAGAGGAGGTTGAATCTGGAAAAAGGCCCCTTGTGGGTAAGAGGAGAGTGGAGGCATATGACGTTGATTTTGATCTTTTCTACCAAGCTATCACCGGAGGTGTTGTTCCTCCATTTCCATCATCTGGACCAGGGCAGGAAACACACCTTCCAGCAAGAGAAAGCAATTGGAGCATACTGAGACGCAAGTTTCTTTCTCGTACAATGTGCAGGGTCTTTTCAGATGCAGCAGTCATCCGAGAGGTAGATCCGTGTGTTAATAGGGTTCAGGTTTTGAATGTGGAGCCATCAACATCTCCAACTTATCTTTCTCCTAATTCATTTTCATCTGACTCAAGTGGTAGTTCAAAGTCTAGCTCCGAATCTCCGATAATATCTCCTTCAACATCTTCCTCACCCTTGTTTACACCTTCACCAGCTTCATCTAGTTTACTTAAACCAGTCATTCAACCATCTAAATCTTCACAACTTTCTCATGACCATGAACAGCCAAGAACCAATCTGCCGGCAACAATTTCACCTTCAAAGGGCTTGTCACGCTCCATTGCTGAGAGAAGGGGTAGCTTTTCTCTTTTAAAATTGCCAGTGCTGAATAAGGATGACTCATTATCATTCAGAAAGGTCTTAGGTGCTTCATCACCTACTCATCTTGAGAGTACACAGAAAATCTTTGAGCGTCAAGATTGTGACCCTACTTTAGTAGTTGATGATGCAGACACTAAAGATATGGTAGTGGAACCATCAATTTCGAAAAATATAGGTGAATTTGATGTTAAAGGTTTAAGAGGCCATGTTGATATTAAGGAGGATCATCTCCCGAGAGATGGTCCCCTGAGATCTAACTCTCTGGGTCTGCTTGATATTTTTCGAGAATCTAGAAATTCTATGGAAGCGATAGTTTTTCGCTGGCCCAACTTCGAAAAGTTGACCACATTCAGCAGAGAGAATCTTGATCCCCAAGAAGTTTTAATTTTCCTTCTTCGGAATACTAGCAAGGACAGGCTGCCATTTAGGATGGTGTACTTATGGATAGGAAGTAGCTTCAAGCAGGTTAATAGAGAGAATCAATTAAATAACGACGAAGATAAAGGGGAAGGTAATCAGATTAATTGGAACCAAGTTGGACGTAATTTTCTTGCTTTCATGGGTCTCCCCAGCGATCTTCCAATCAAGGTTTGTTTTTTGATACCTTTGCATTAGCATGCTTTGCTTGTTTTATCATGCTACGTTTTTATTTATTGTTAAGGTTCAGATAATGCATCTGTGTATATATTAGTTAATATAATTAGAAGAATCGCACTGTGTTATTTCCATGACATATTAGACTGCAAAAATGCCAAATTTCGTACTTTTCCTGGCAAGCATTCCTTGCAAGGGATTATAAGTTTCATTCTATGAGTATTATGAAGCTCTCTTGACAAGTGTTAAAGTGTAGGCTAAAATTTTTAGCATGATATTGTATTGTTGTTTTCATCATATTTAATGATGCTTCAAACTACTACTTATATGCTTATTTCTCACTCTTATAGATAATCAATAAAACAAATACTTACTTGCTTGTATGGTGATAATATATGGTACATAAATATTCTCTTATAATGGACTTGCATTCCGTAAGAAAAATTGAAGAATGAAAGTATGGACAAATGCAATCAATAAAATATGATGTGGTGAACACTGATTTCTTGTAGTGACTACCAATAAGAAAAGTTACATTGATTGAAAACATGGCTTTATATGATATTAGAGCAACGGTAGTAGATTATCTTGTTTTTTATAGTCTTTATAATTCTTACAATCATCAGTGATTTAGCATTCTGTAGTCATATATATATAAACCTTATCAATATAGGTATTGAGCCCATTGTGCAGAATCAACTTCATCATTTTACCTCGTTAGTAGACAGTTCTACATATATGTGTTTAGGATATTCATTATTCTAAACAAATGGCTCAATATAAGAAATGCCATTGAATTTTGAAGCACAAGCAAATTAATGATATGAGTAGGTCTGAAGCATCATGCAATTATATCCAAAAGTGAAATTTTCATTTGAGGGGTTGAAATTGGGTAGAAATTACTCAAAATAAATAAAAATTTATTTTCGAATTCAAATTTTCTTCTCTTTAATCATAAATGCCTCTATCCAGTCATAATACATGTTCCTCTCTTTATCCTTTCATCCCTCATTATTGTATCTTATATAAACAATATTCTAAATCATGCTTGGTTATCTTCTAATGGAACTATATGAATCTAATTACTAATTAAATCTGTCACATAATTGTATCTTAATTCATTCTCCTCTTTCTAACATATGACTATAGTATCATGCAATCATTTCCAATAGTAAGATCCACATCTAAGGGGTGGAAGTTGGGTAGAAATCACTCTGAATAAATGATGGGCTTGAAGTTGGGTAGAAGTTACTCAGAATAAATGAATGTTTATTTTCTTCTATGTAATCATAGATTTCACTATCTATTCATTGTACATGCTCCTTTCCTTATCCTTCATCTTTTTTGTTATTGTTATATTAAATGAGCTATCCTCTAAATCATGCTTGCTTATATTTTATGGGACTATGCCAATGAAATCTCTCTAATATGATTTTGTCCTAATATATTTAGGGTTATTTTGGATTTAGCTGGAATTTAATCTGGATTTAAGATAAACTACCAAATGGTTATTTGGAGATCCTGATTTTGGGGATTTACCAATTCACATTGTTCACAAGATTTAGCTTGCTTTGTTGCTTCTTGGTGATTTTTTTTGTCTTTTATCTATCTGCAATTTCCTCTTTTCTCCTATTGAGAACTAGGTTTTATCCATTGTTGTCTTCACTTGCATTATTGGTTTAATCCTTGTAGAGGTATTTTCCCTTTCTCATCCCATGCAGGTATGTGGGAATCTCCCTGTTCTTATAAGTTTTTCTCTCTTCCTTTCATGATCTTATTTGCTTAGTTCCATAGGTTTGTAGAGTTGTGGTCGATAAATCTACATGAGTATGCCATAGATCGGTGGTCAAATTGAACTTGCCTCTTCTCTCCCACCATTACAGCCTATGACATGGTTAATCGGGAGGTTAATACTTTTGCTTTTTTGTGGGTTTTCATCTCTGTTTAATCTTAACAACATACTAATGCATCAACTTTATATATTTAAATCCTAAATCTTAATCATGAAATAGATAGCCAAACAATTTATTAATATTTAGCTAGATTTAATGCTGAGCAATTTTTTGGAATTCGACGCCCCCATTTCAAATTTATGAGATTTGCTAAACCATATTTGTTGCCAAGCAAACCATGCGATATTCATCATCAATGTGTATTAATTGTTGAAACAATGTATATCTGTACATGGAGTTGTTCTTACTGGACTTACTGCCTTATATATATATATTTCCAGGGTGTTATACTTGCTAGAGTAGCTCCCCCTTCCTAATTTAAATAATCTTTATCATTAGCTTTATCTTTTTTTTTGCCGGCTGCATGGATCCTACTTCATAATTCATTTCGTAGTTTTTGACTTTTTGGAAGTCCTTTTCTATAACTTCTAGCTTTTTGTTAACTTCTATCTATTTCTTCCCTCTCATCCATTTTCTAATAATTATGTTTCCTTGTCTTATTAGTACCTTCTTCTGTTGCTCTTTTTCAGCCATTTCACAATAATTTTATCTCCTGATTTATCAATATCTTCTTCACTCAATTATACGTGCCATTATTTCTACTAAGGGCTAAATCTAAATTCTTTTATTATGATCATTTTGCTTTATGTTGGTCTTTACTTTACAATCACAGTTCTTTCTTGGCTTACACTCAAATTCATAAAAAACACAATATTTTATTGCTAATTTGTTTATTTTTCATAAGGTTTCATGATATCCTCGCATTGCATAATTTTTTGAAGGCACTCTTCCTTTTTAGTTATATTTGCATATAAGTCCTTGTCTTCTATGACTCAAACCCAAGGTACTTGAATTTTTTGTGTAGATAGTACTTGATACTCCATATTATTGTTTGATCAACAATAATTTCAATACTAGATAAAGGAAGGCTTCATGTTGTTGTTGTTGCTGCTGCAGCAGCATTAATTTCACATGCACTTAAATTACATTTGAAATAATTAATTTATGTTCAAGTAATCTTAAGTTTCTCATATTGTAACAATTTAGTATTTTTTTTTTCTTATTCTTGACTTCAAAACATTCTCATATATTCGAATTAAATCAACTGCTAATATTATACAACAAGTATATCGTGTTAACAGATTTATTCTTATATGCTTATCTTGATGTAATTTCATTAGGGTTTGGACTCCTTTTATCAACAACAAATTTCAATACTAGCCAATGATTCATCAAGTTTACCTTAATAAATATGAATTCTTTTCTCTCCATTTTTCTTACTCGGTCATGTGCCTTTTCAGTAACTTTTTTCTTGAATTATCTTAACAGAAAATTGCCCTGATTTCTATTCATTATATAAATACAAATTTAGATACGTCATAGTTAAATCCAACATAATCATGTTATTTATAATCTTAAATTTATCATGCAATTGTTCTCTATGTTCACTAAATGATAAATTTTGTTCTTTAAGCTTCTGATTTATACATCCTTGTATATTTAGTAGCAATTTTTCATCAAAATTGTCAAGCATTTCCCACTAATATTTATTTAGTACATTTCGTTCTTTGCAAATGTAGCGTATTTTAAATTATAATTTTTTTTTTCCAAATTATTGATTCAATTTAATTTTTTTTCTAAGTTTATATGTCATATTAAATGCCAGATTATTATTTTAATCCTTATGATAGTCATGTTGAAGTTGTCTAGAATCATTCTTTACTTTTTTCGTTTAAGTTACATCATATGAATATTTTATTGATTGACTTGGTGAGTATGTCTTACTTTCAGATGATGCAATGATGCGAATATTTTATTGATTGACTTGGTGAGCATGTCTTACTTTCAGATGATACGTTGATGCAAATTTAAGCTTAGATATTAATTTTCCTACTGATGTCTTAGATTTAAGGATTCTCCGACACCAATTTAGGATGATTTGCATAAATCATGCACACAAGGTTAAATTTGCAAGCCATAAGTTGGACAAAAATTGTCTATCTTAATAAAAATAAATAAATGTGAAATATTCACAACAAATTGTAAATTAATGACCAACCAAATAGAAGTTTGACATATAAACTTAGAACTGATGAAAACTACATTTCAATCATAAACTCTCATTTTCAATTAAAAATTCATATTATAATAGATTTGACTGCAAATCAATCAAGTTTTAAATTGATTACAAAATAAGTTGAACCAAAGTAATTAGGAAACAATTCATCAAATGAGATTTATGTGTCTGATGTAGCATTTCTAGCTTCTGCTGTACTTATATTGTCATTTTAGTAATGTTTAGTTTATTCCAATCACTTATATTTAATTTAAGTATACTCAATTTGCTTTTTGGTTAAGTTTAGTGGCATAGCTTATATAGTACATACAATGTAAAGAATCATTTTTTGAGTATTTAACTCACAAGGGCGGCAGTCTACATACAAGATCCTATGCTTAGAGTTGATTAAATATTTGTAGTCCTAATTTCAAAGTTCTTGTATTCTATCTAAAAACATAAGTTTTATTTTAGCATGCACAAAAATAACTTTCAGTTGGTTATGGAGCAACATAGACCGGCCCAGGTGGGGCCAGTTCAAACATACATGAGGCGGGCTAAACCACCTCCTTTACACCCCACTGCCTAAGCTAGTGGGGCCCCCTTCTTTGGGCGGCAATTAGAGAGAGAGAGAGGGCAATTTGAATTTCTTTTTTATTAGGAAGCTTTCATTAGGAAGGGAGGTATTTAAAAAGGATGAGAAGTTAGGGTTATGTTTTATGTTTTTTATTGTTGTTTCTCTTGGAGTTTTCTTGGCGGCTTTGGACTCTAGGCTTCTCGTCTAGAGATTGGAGAGAACGATCCTCCTCTCGAATTGAGGATCAATTGTATCTTTGTTTCGTCTTGCTTCACTTTGATTTCTATAAATTTATCTACTGATTTTGGGTTGCTTGCGAACTCAAGTATTCTAATTAGGGTTACTTGTGAACTCAAGTATTTCCTATCACATTTCCTGGTGTGGTGCCAGGATCACATATATTAATAGCCTAATTCTAACTATAGTGTGAAACCTAGAATATAAGAAAGTAATCCAACTAAATATGAGTTGAATCCGTCTATAAAAGAAAGCCAGTGAAGCACATAAAAGACATAGCAACAATCTTTCAAATCAATGATTGGACATAAACAAGGCAGGGACTATGTGAAACCATAATAGTGATCTTCCAACTCAATGGTTGGACAAGAACATGGAATCATACATGTGTTGAAGCAAGAAATTAAAAACAATTGAACTAGAAAACAAAGGATAGCTGAACAATCCACGAATTGAAGGAAATCCAATTGAATCCCAGATAAATCCCCCACCTAAAAGAAAGGTAGTGAGGCTGTTATGCCCGGTTCTTCTGAACCGAACCCAACAGGAGTGCTGGGTGGTTCTAGCGAGGGGGGTTTGGCCCCCCTGTGTGGCCCAAGAAGGATTTAATTCAATATATTAGAAGAGAAATAGAGGGAGAGATTTAGGAAGGTTTTAATGATAATTGGGAGTAAATTATTTAGGGAAAGAGTTCAAAATTAAGAGGGAATTAATTAAGGAAAGGACGTTGATTTTTGAGGGAAGTAGAGGAGCCTATTTAAGGCTAACTATGTATTATTTTCACATTATGAATTGTTATTTATGTTGTGGCTTTTCTTTGAGAGTTTCCTAGCGGCATCTAGGGTTTGTGGGAGAGCCGATCTATCTCTCGAATAGTAGATCAATTGTATCTTTCATTGTTGTTGAAGTTTTAATCAAAATCAGCCATAATATTTATGCTCTAGCAATTTCTTCTTCTTTATTTTGCTATTTCACTTCCAAATCGCATCAGAGGCATATGAAAATCATAACAACAATATTCAAAATCAATGATTTGACACAAGCAAGTCATTGAGAATGTGAAAACACGACAATAATTTTTCAAATCAACAATTGGACAAGAGCATGGCATTATACATGTATTGAAGCAGAAAATTGAAAACAATTAAACTAGGGAATTTGCTGTTTGTTTTATCAAATCAACTTTTATTCTAAGCGGTACACCAAAAATGATCAAGATGGTCAAAACGTTAAACAATACATCCTATTGTTATAGACATATTGCATCAAACTAAACTAAAAATGCTATTAATGCTACTCTAAAACTCATAATAATAATGTCCTCTCCATAGAAGCCACATTTCCTATTTTTAATGAGTATGAGCCTTTGGATTTCCATATAATTTGTTAGGCTTGGGAAAATTTTACTACAACGAATTGAGCATTTTATATTTATCATATAAATATTGCATAATTGTTGTGCTGTTTATGAAGCAGTCCATGAATTATCACAAACATGTATGCCATGCCAGTGCTTAAGCTAACTTCAGGAAAAAAAAAGATGGATATAAATATTAAGTAAAATGTTGGATGTGAATTTACAAGGAGATGAAAAGAGAAAAGAATCTGAGGCATATTATGAAATAAAGTTGAATCACATGCATTTAGGATTGAACTAAAGTATCTTTTAAAATTTTCAATTTATAAATATTTTTCCTAATGTGCTAATATCATTTTATATGATCATTTTTTTTGCAGTAATTTCTTAATTATCTTTATAAGAAATTTTTTAGGATTCAGATCTACGATGAACTTCTCACTCTGGTTGAATTCTCCACATCTCTTGTTTACAGAAACAATAAACCTATAATTGTTATAGTTAACAACCAATTTCATGTGAATATCTTCGTACAAACCTTGCAAATGATGATATAGAGCTGATAATGAAAATACTAAATTATTAGTATGCATCTTAAGAGATATTAATAAATATTTCTAATTAACAATTATAGAGTTAGATAATAAAGAAAAGCTAAATCTGACAAAACACTCATATGTGATATGCTTATTTAGATAAACATTTTTTTCCTTTGAATTAAAACTAATTGATATCACTTGAATATTAATTGTGATGGTTTATATACTTTTAGATTTGACTTGATAGATGGCATTTTGAATGCCATGTTTCTTTTAATGCAGTCTTCATTTATTTTTATTTTTTGAAATGTTGACACAATTTCACTTTTCCTGTAAGGATATTCTTATGAATTTGTGAGTCAAGAAATTAATAATACCGATTTAAATCAATTTTAGTTTAATTTATAGAAATGATTATTTTAGAAATTTATTAGGAGTTTAAGCATAAGAATTTCCATTTGATTTATTAATTCTGTAGCCATTATTGATTCAAGTTCACAGTTATTAGAGTCAATGTCTATTAAAATCTTGGCTTATTTTAAAAAAAATGTTCTATTAAAATAGGTTCACAATCTAGATTAGTTTCAATCTCTATTCAAAGTTTAGGTTCATGCACGATCTTATGTTTATGTTCAAATTCAAATTCAATTTATAATTAATTTTTTAGGTTTTGAACTGGTCTTATGCTCAATTTAAATTTCAAACTCAAATTTTGACTGTCGCTTAAGTTCAAGCTCATGAGCAAGTTGTGTAGCAGGCACAAGTTCTAGTTAAACAAGATCAGATATGGACTCATATTGTAATTGCAAGTTATCTTCTGCATTTAGTACATCATTACAAAAGTATTTATGAACTTTATTTTCTTTGATAAAATTGGAGTTGACTGTGCGGAATTTTGACCATACATGATTCTTATATTAGTGTATGTTTGATAGATTTTAGAGATTGTAATACTTTTTCTTCTTTAGAGACATTAGACATAAGTGCAGTATGACTATCAGAATGATTGTAATATTCCTTAATGCTGCTTTGGATAAAATCTATTTGTCAAAATATATAATGGTAACAAAATAATCAAATGACAAATAATGTATGGCTATATGACTTTGTAAACCTTGTATAATATTCATTTACTCCATTATCTCTTCATTTGCAATTTTAAATTTATCAACCTGTTGGCCATTATATTCACTTATTTTACTTTTATGTTTCATATCAACCCATATAGACTTTGCAGTAACGCTTCACCAATAATATTGACCATGTCCTACTAACTTTGATTTAATAACTTCAATGCTTTAGGAATCAGATAAATTATAAAATTCATTTTTTTCCTCCAAACTATTGATCTAGTAAAAAAAACATTTCTAAAATTATTCGTCCTATCAAATATAAGAGCATAATTTTTAACTTCATGATGACCATGTTGTTGTCACCTAGAACCCCAACCCACTCGATTTTGTTTATGTTGCACTTTTTTTTTTGTTAATTAACCTAGTTAATATGTTGTCTTTTTAGTTGACATGAGTATACTATCATAAACAATGATACCAAATATATATATATATATTTTTTAATTTTTTAATGATACCAAATATAATGTAGAATGCTTAGGCTATAGGTAGGGTTTCTCTTATGCAATGTCAAGACGGGATGCATGAAAACACAAAAAGACTACACTTCACAGTCCAATCTTTAGGTACAAGCTTTATTCCTTTTGATGTAAATTGTAAAATACATAAAACATGTTTCCATCTACTATTCTAAAGATCGTAGAAAATTGAAATTATGCAAGAATATGAGATTCAACAAAAACCCATGAGTAAGTTTCACACCTTTTGTGAATATGACCAAATTTCAATTACAAATACAAAATCAATCACAATTGAAAAAAGATAAAGAATGAAAATCACCAAAGAAGATCCAAGTGCTTCGGCAGCACAAGCATAACCTAGAAAGTTCTCTCTGAAATTGTCATCACCACTAGCAATGTATTTGAAGATTTCACGTCCAACAAGAAACGTAGGTTTGATAGGAAATTCAAATTTTATGATACAATTAGATATACTCATGAATGATCCAACTTTTGTAGTTTCTTAATGTCCCAAAATCTGATAAAAAAAAACTTGTCATTATTACGAAAACCTTAGATTCGAGTTAAAAACAGTATTTACCTTTTTAATTTATTATAGGGTTAATAAGGTTAATGAATTTGTTTCTTATCAATAAATTAAATGTTTTTAAGCTTTATAAATTATGAATGTTAGTAGGTATAAAGAATTTGAATGGTGATTATATTGAAAATCTAAGCCTACAATATTAAGCATATGCGTGACATTAGATGCAATTACCCATTCTACTGTTATGTGGACTATTCTGCAGTAATTTTCTCTCTGCTGTGCTCTTGTATACTTATTAGGGAAATTTACATACATACCACTTCATAACATCCTATTTACACGTCTAACACCTAAAACTTTAATATTACATGCATACCATCCTATATTATTTTAATATCAAATATACCACTCATATATTTCATTTCTACCACTCATATTTGATATGAAAATGAACTATTAGTGGTATATATATGTAATATTAAAGTTTCAGATGATAAATATATAAATAGAATAGTATAAGATGTACCGTATGTAAATCTCCCTACTTATGGATTTGGTTATTTAATCATTTTTCTTGTCACCTAAAGCAGAGGCAGAATTTTACAGTCAATTTTTATGTCAGCAGGTTTTTGAGGGACAAGATCCAGACAAATTTGTAGAAATGCTGAATCCTACTTAATTCTGTATGCAACAAAACTTAACCAATTTGAGCTATACCGTCTTATACTTCAACGGCCATTTATGCTGTAGAATTCTGTTAATGCATTGATCGGATAGTGTAGACCAGCAAAGGGTGAAGAGGTACTATCTTGTATTCCGTTTATCTTACACTGCACTGTGATACCCTTTATTACTAATTTGCCCCTTTTTTATTTTGTTTTCCTGTGCCAGGAGGCTTGCCAGAAATTTGCACAGTGGTTGTTCCAGTTGTACAGTGCCCACTCCCCTGTAAGCGCAATTTATTGGAAAAAAAAAACTTGGTTCATTTTTTTCTCTCCTGATAGCTTCTGTACATTGTCGTGGGACTCCTTATTAGCCCGTTTATCCCGTTAATGAACTGATATTTCATTACTAATGCATCCAGCATTGCTCATTTTACTGTTTTTTTTTTTTTTTCATTTTTTTTACTCGAATGGTGAGCTTAATAGAGAAAGAATAGCTTGCACTGATGTGTGTGAGTCTTATTTGAGATTCTGAATGATGAAATATCTGGAAGGTTCCATGATCATTCTCTTCAGAGTCAAACGTAGTTTAATTTTAGCTATACTTTCTAAGGTGAGGAATTTGAATTCTGGAGGTGATGTTGCTCCATTACTGCTCTCAAAAGTTCTTAATTTGAATAATTTTTAGTAATATGATGGCTGATATTTCTTCGTATGAAGTTTGAGAATAATGTAGCTGTTTTAATTGGTTTGACCATGATCAGTAAATTGCCCTTCCTAGTTTTATTTGACGTATATTGATGAATCCATCATCATTCTCTTCAAATCGGATAATCTGTCACTGCTTTATTAAAAAAATTTAGAACAATTTGACACTTTGTTGAATGCATACACATTTAAATTGGTGCTGCATCAACTACGTAGGTTGCCACTTCAGATTTGTGTTTGATTCTTTGTGTTTTCTCAAGCTTAGAAATAAGATATTTCATACAGACTTTCCTTATAATTAAGGCAGTTTGCCCGATAACAAAATAGAGGTAGACCTAAAAATATTTGGTTTGAAAGAGTTAGAAATGATTTTTTTTTTATTAGATTTAAATTAGAATTTAATTTGTAATAGGACAATGATGAAAATGGATTCATGTAGGTGATCCTACTTAATAGGATAAATATTTGATATTATTATTATTGTTGTCGTCGTCATCATCATCTGATAAAAAAAGTATTTCACTTGGATGAGCTATTTTATCTAATTGTTTTATTTTAAGGTAAAATATTTGTGTTTGAAATGAATCATCTCATTCAATTTTGGATGTATTGAAAAATTGTAGATTTGATTGTTTTTTAAACATGGTAAATTTTCTATCATTGCCGCTATGGCTGTTAACTTGGGGTCATGGGTCGGATTTAGGTCGAACTCGGAATTGACTTGACACTAATTGACTCAACTTGACCCGTTTGCAAATGAGTAAGGTCTTTTAACCTAGACCTGACACATGGGTTACCGTGTTGACTCAAATTGACTTGAGGACATGTTCTTGGCGTTGGTATCGAACGATTAGCTTAAGCGCAGAGCAGCGTTGGCCGCGACAACATCATCAACGTGATGTGACTCATGCGAAGAGACATGCCACGCGGGTAGAAGTGGTCAATCCATGCAGACACGATACGACACGGTTAGCGTGTGTCATTCGCGGGTCAACTTGAACTCGATCCGATTTTTGAAACGGGTCGATTTGGTGAACCCAAACCCAACTCATTTCTCAAATAGGTTGACCATAACCAGAAATTTTTAATTCGGATTTGAGTCGGGTTTTCATTTGTGTCAAATATTGACATTCCTAATTGCCGCCATAAGCTAATGCTAGCTGTGGCCGATCATCGCCAACATTGGTTTTATTTCGCAGTTGCACTTGCCTGGATGATATTACAGTTATAAAAAAAAATGTAGTGTTAAGTAGAGCGACTAATGATGGTTCTAATCTATTTTATTTATTTATTCGATTGATGATCGTAGCTTCTATTTAGTGTTAAATGAATGTGTGAATAACTAGCACGTATAAGATGCAAACGACTAATAAATCATAGGGCTGATCACATGAATTCACAATTTCATTTATTATATCAAGTACTATATGAAATATTAATTCTATTTAAAAAATATTTTGAATAATGTTTACACTTTATGTTAGATATATTTTTCCTAATTTTTTTGGCATTAAATTTATCAAGTTTAACGAATGTATTTCATTACTGATTAAATCATTATCTATTTTTCAATTATTTTAGTTTTAATAGCTGTCGCTCTATTCATTTTTCTAATATAATTATTATTTAATTTATCATTTTTAAATTTGTGTTATTGTCGTCTTAATATTTTCATTTTTATTATATTTAATTATTATTGATTTTCTTATAACCAATATTTAGCTTTAAATAATTATTCTATTATAATTAAAAGTTCTTTAATCACTTAGCATCTATTTTTAATATTAGATAGTGTTTCATCATCATATTTTTAATGACTTTACTTTAAATATAAATTAACTTAATTCATATAGTATTTAATTTATGTTTTATCAAAATTAATGGACTTATTTATTTCATCTACGATATCTCTAAGGTTTTGTTTGCGATAATTTTTTTATTGCTTTTTAAAATAATATTTTACCATAACATTTTTTAATTTAAAAAATTTGTACTAAAATGTAGCTTTAAATTTGTACCAAATGGAGTAAAAGCTTTATAGAGCCTCAAATGATAAATGTTTTCCTACCCCCTTCATCTTAATGAGTTATAAGGCTCCCAACTTTATGAAAATAAAGTATATTGTGATAGTTGAGTTATATGTGTTTTATTTAGGAGTAAAATATGATATTGTTTGCCAAAAGAATTACACTTTAGCTTACATAAAATAGTGTGACATTCTTTTAATTAATTGGTCTACTTAAAAAATCTTCTAAGGGAATTTCTCATTTTCTTCAGTAATATTTATATATTGATTGTATGTTGTTGATAAGGCGACTTTCTTCTATAATTATAACACCCATCTCATTTTTAGTGGCGCAAATAGTATATACGTAAATAGTGATACTTATTATGTTGGGTCTCTGGCTTCATTTGGGACGGCTTTCTTTTTATTTAAAGTAGTTTTTTTGTAATTTTTTTTATTTCGTTCAAAAAACTATTTTAAGAAAAAAGTAAAAAGTTGTCTCAATCAAAACCTCAATCTTAGGCTTCGTTTGGGGTAGCTTTCTTACTGTTTCTTAAAACAACTTTGTAGTACAAAAAATAAATTTTTTGTACTAAAAAGTTGTTTTAAAAAAGCAATAAAAAAAGGTCGTCCTAAACGAAGTCTTAATTGAAATCAATGCAACTCTATATCTTTTAAGTTATTCCATTTAGACTTAGGAGAATAGTTGATTGCACTTTTATGATAGTGTAAGATCTATTTCAGTGTTCTTCTCTTATATAAGATATTTATCTATTGTATACTCATATTGCTTTGTATAATATCTAATATTATATAGATCATTACATACTTAAATGATTGACCTCTTGAAACATAGGACATTTTAGCTATGTGCTTCTTTTCATTTTAGGTTTTTTTTTTTTTTAATTATTTATTTCTTAGGCAATCTAAAGAGGCTATTGAGTTGCATAAATATAATCTCCGTCTTTATTATCTCATTGAACCTATTTAAAAACTTCTTAATATATTATTGTTGTGAAAGACTTAAAATATCTTTAGCCTTATTATGCAATATAATCATTTAAATAATCTTATTAGAAAACTAATCTTTTTAAAATATTTCTTCACTTTGATTTCGCTTTTGATAACTCCAATTAATTATAATTTGGAGTGTGATTTTCTTTGGTGTCAATGTTACTTATTCCTATGTAATTTAAATTCATTGCATATAATATTTCTACTTATAATAATTCTTTTTTCTCTGCTATCAAAAAATATATAACTCATCTATATCATATTCAATTAAGTGGCAATTAGATGTTTGGTTAGTCTTGTCTCTAATAATTTGATTAATAGAAAACTATGATAAGTGGTTAAAAACCTTCAAAAATGACCAACATACCTTATTATTTATCCAAGCTTCTTCAAAAAGATCTAAGCTAAGTGCAAATGATAGCCCTTAGTTGATGAAATCTCTCGATAATTGCATATTCATTGAGAGTAATATTCATTCTCTCATATACTATTTTTTACCATGGAGTTCTTAGGATAATTTCTTCCATATGTTTTTGGGTGTGAAATAATAGTTTTTGGGTTTTATAGGGTCCTATTGCTCAATATTATTAGAGCATAAACTTTTAATTCTATCTCTGATTTTATTTCCCATTAAAATTCTCTTTCATAATAATTGAAAATATGCCATATTTGTTTTTGAAGGTAATATGGTACAATGATTCCTCCATGAAAAATATAAGAGAGGGCCACCATTTTTTTTATGTAGGGACTCCTATTTTGTGATCTCTGGTGTTCTTAGAGCATTGGATAAAATGAACCTTTTTTTTATTTTTCCTAAAGAATAATTTTCAAATTAGGTGTATTCAATATATTTTAAACTTAAATTTTCCCCTTTGAATGGATAATTTTTCACCTTTTCTCACTTATAAACTAGGCTTTAGTGCCATTGATATGAATATGCTTATATACTAGTGTTGACTCCCATAGCTTCTATGATGTTGGAGCTAAGAGTGCTTTTCTTAGTGTCTTGAGTAAAAGGTGCATTTTATCACTTTTTTGAGTGCCATCATTGGAGGTGCATGGAATCCTTAAATATCTTGTTATTTAATGACGGTTAGTAGGAGTGTCAATTTTGGGTCAAGGATTGGGTTCTCGTCGAACCTGAAACTGACCCGGCACTATTTGGCTGAACCCGTACTCGATCAGTTTTTTTCAGACGCGTTAGTTTTTTTGGACCCGAACCGACCCCCAGACATGGCAATGCCAGCAGCAGCGGATCGACAGCAACGTCACTCGAAGTCTCAACTCGCGGATAGTGGACATGCGGGTTAATGTGACGTACAAACCGACGTGACGCGAGAGGACAGTAACAAGCGGGGTCCCGACGCGGGTTATCGTGGACATGAATAGTCAGCCATGGCATGCAAGGTCATCGCATGCAGTGGGTGAATCCGTGTCATTTTTTGTGTTTCCGGGTCAATCCGAACTCGACCTGATTTTTTAAACAGGTTATTTTGTTGAACTCAAACCCGACCTGTTTCTTAAACAAGTTGACCCTAACTTGAAATTCTCGGGTCTTGTTCGAGTCGTGTCAAATGTTGACATCCCTAGCGATTAAGTTTCTTTTTAAGCTAGGGATATGCATATTTTTTGTTCAACTTCCAATTATTTATTTATTTATTATATTAATTCTCACATATGTAATAATTACGTAGCTCATCTTGA